CGGATCTTTTGCATTTTTCGGAACTTTCTCGGAACTTTTGAGAGAATCTAAAAAGCATTCCGGAAGTTTTGACGGTCATGGAATGGAAGCCTTGCTGCTCCGTAGTAATTTGTATCTGTGTTTACTATAAATACGCACGAAAGTGTTTTCTGAAATGCGGTTTAAGGGAATGAGTGGCAAACCTGGAGCGGAGAGGACCGGCCGATCTGACCTGGCCAAGTCTGACCGACTGCGACTCGCGACGCGGCATGCGGCAGACGCGGCCTCCGGGCAAGAGACGAGCAATAATTTGCATCGCGCGCATGCGCGAATCCCCCCGCGAAGCTCATCGCAGGTTGCCGCACCCATCCACCGAGTTTCCTGCACACTCAGTCATGCCCTTTTCAAAGGTGCACAATTTGAGAATCATGATTTATAAGCCCTAATAGCACACCGGAAAACATCAGCAGCAGGGAGCAGTTTTGTGAAAGAGGGGCGTATTAATTGCCGCCGAAATTTGAGATGTTTTTATTTCTTGCTCAATTTCTCCAACCCTGCAGGCTGATTGTTAAAATTGATAAACAAAGCTATAGACAAAGATACAAAAAGGGTATGAAGGGATCCTATTAGTGAAAGTGGGTGGTTGCAATAGACAAAGAACGGTAATGAACTAACTAACGGTAAGTCACGAGAGACCCTTTAGTTAGTCCATTATTCACCTCCTTAGTCTATTAGAACCACCCAAATTAACCGATGGGATCGCTCCATACTCATTAGGTCCTCTTTGTCTATGGCTTTGTCTATCGATATCAACAATCAGCCCGATGCTCGTGTGATCGTGGTCTTATCACGGATGGTATGTAGAAAATTGGTCTATTTTTTTCCGAGAGAAATATGAAGAATGGGCCCATAAACCATGAACGAATTTTGGCTTGCCAATACTTTTTTTGAAGGTAAATGACACGTAGAAAAGAATGCGCGCATTAAAAACGCGAAAAAAGTAACTCGGAAACCGATAAATACCCAGTTCAAAAGACGCAAAATTTCCCCAAATTTAAGATGCCCTAGTTTCGCGTCTCACCGAATGATGTCATCCGGCACCGCTCAGACAATCAGAGGCAAGCATGGGTTTCTACGACTTCCGTCATATGTCTTCCTGCTCTTCGAAAATGAAAGCAGTGGGAAAGTCAAAATCATATCTTCAGAATGTAGAATCAAATAATCGAATCTCATTCATGTTATCCGTCGTAAAGAAGGAAATATTCCGCATTGAAATACGTTTTATTTTGACAAAAATTGAGGAGATGGCGATTTGACTGCCGTGGTAGATCACTTCCATCGTTTTTTCGCCATCCCGTTTCATTTGAAATTTCTCCGAGTTTTCGGACTTTTTAAAAGCGGGCTTGTCCGGAGTTTTGGCTCCAAAAATACGCGATAAATCACCACGTAAACTACTCACCTGGGACTGTCAGAAGAGTAAATAATAAACACAAGGTTTAGTGACCCATTGCGTGAGAAATCCAGTTTTTTCATGTTTTCTCAAAACTTAAGTTATGGTGCTTGGTTACGCCCTTTTTCAAATAATCTGTTCATTTATGGTTTTGCCTTAAGGTACTCAGTTTAAAGACAGTTATGCGAATAAATGAGGAGGGAATTGAAACATGGGTAAACAAGCGCTAAAACATTAAAACACTAAAAGGCAGGACGTTTCGAGCTTACGGAAAAAAAAGTGAGGAGTTATCCCCTAAAATTGTGGTACTACCCCAATTCGTTGGATGATATGGACATTTACAATTAATTTTGGTAGTACCGCAACATTTGGGTTAGTAACCGAATTTATTGGGATAGAACCACGATTAATCGGGGTATTACCACAATTAATTGGAAATATCCATATCATCCAACAGTTGGGACTTAACCCCTACCTCTGTGTTTTCCGTGCTGTCACCAGCTCATTTTCAGCTGCAAAAAACACACAAAAAATAGATAAAAAATTGAAAGGCGACCTTATTTTTATTATTAATTTATATTTATTTTATTGTGTTTTTTGCAGCTGAAAATGAGCTGATAACAGCTCGAAACGTCCTGCCTTTTAGTGCTTTTAATGTTTTAGCCTCGTTTACCCATGTTTTAATTCCCTCCTTACCTATTCGTGTATTCGGGCTATTTTTTTGTGCTTTATAGTTTATACATGCGCAAAATTTTTCATGCAGATTGGAATGTTGGGAGTGAATTCCAGACTTTCTCGTTGCGCTCATCGTGAGTTTTGAGGCATTGTGCATCACTGGAAAAAAACCACATTGGTTCTAGAGTCCAGAGTCCAGACTCTTAAAATTATCGACAAGAAAAAGTACACTTGATTCAATCAGAATCTAGCTTAAATCAAGAACCAAGCCTCTTAATTTAAGCGGATTTCGTTTTGATTCAAGCAAAAATCCGATTGAATCAAGAGTATTTTTTCTTGTCAATGTTTTCAAGAGTCTGGACTCTAGATACGATGTGTTTTTTTCCCCAGTGATACAAGGTAACTTACAATTCTGCTCTTGCGAAAATTTACAACCAACTCGTTTTGCGCGTAAACGCGGGGGTTTTCGGGGAAATAGCCCAAAATCCGGCAACCTATCCCGTGCAATCCGGTCCGAGCTCCCGGGTCACTTTTACTTTCTTAAATATGGTCGAGCCGCCCCTTCGTCCCTTGCTTCCCGCTTCCCTTGGGCCTCCTTCGGTCCTCCAGCTGCCAGTGTGTGGAGAGCCGAGCCGCCGCCGCGCCGTATCCCGCCCGGGAAGAAATATGTTTCTTAATAATTCTTACATAAACCTATTAAGTTCGTGAGCGAACCTTTCAACGCGAAATTTATGGCCTTAAATGCCATAATCGTTTTGACTAATCAGGGAATCTGGTGCCCGGGGCCCGGGGGGTACGAAAGGTTCCGACGTCTACCCTTCCCCCGTCCGTGGCCAAAGAATCTCTTTTGACCGGTGAAAGCCAAAGGGCTTTGTCTTTTAAAATCGGCTGGATCTTTCGGGCAGCGATAAGCGAAAGGAAACCGTGTGATTTGGGAAACGAGGAATCTGCGCGTTAGTTTAACCTACATTCTGCCGTGCTAAGGAGAAACGTCGTATGAGCCTTCAGGCGTTGCCAAATCTTTCTCGACAAATCACGAATTTTCGGGCAAATTTGTAAATATTATTCTGCGAATTTCTCGGAGGGTTTTGCTCATATTTTGATCTGAAAAGCCTGAAAATTTCAAGGCAAAATATTCATAAAATCTTTCAGCAATAAATATTTCCTGAGAGGCAATTTGGCAACACTTGAATGCTCATACGGCGTTTTTCCTTAGCACGGTGGCATAATGAAAAGCAATGTAAAGTCATCTAAAACCAAGAGATTCTTGGCAACAAGAACATGAATAAGTTCCAATGCTACTAATATTATACGATTACGTGTGTTATTTGTAACAGAACATTTTGAAAGCCCTACTGCTATATTTCCGCTTGAAAAGTCTTAAGCACGCAATTTTTTCTGTACAAGTAAAGGTCCACGCGAGTTTGTTCGGTTTCTTACAAACAAACAAAATTGCGCATTGCGCAATCTGAATAGTATTGAAAATCTTATACACGCTCATTTGTGAATTTTAAAACTCCAACTCCTCTCTTTTGGTGAGTGAAGTTTTATCCTTCAACCAAAATAGGAGTCAACAAGAATACAGAAAATTACTAGCCTTCCTACTTCTCAAATTGGTTTTCCAATTTTCAAAAATCCTTTCCCCCAAAAAATTTTAAGCTAAAAACTTAACCCTCAATCTTTCTTTCGCTTTAGCCTCTTCATTCGTGTGCATACTAAACCGGCCAAATGCTAATACGTCAAAAACAAAAGGACAGTCACTTTTCTTTTCCTTACTCAAGTTCACTTTATTCTACATAGTTTTTTACTCTCTTTCTAACTATAAGATAAATTCTATCGTTTTATTTTAACCAGGCCTTTTTTTTTCGAGTATTAAATACAACTTTCATCATTCCATAGCAACAAAACTCAGCACATGGGCCATGTGGCCAAATAACAATGTTTGCTTCTTATCTCTATGGATTGGGAAAATGTTAAGGGTAGAAAGGTGTTTCTTCTGTTTAAACAATTCGAAGTTTTAACGACCACAAAAAATTCAATTTGAAAATATGTCATTTGAGGTGACAAAAAATGACATCAGTTTTTTGCATCATCATTCATTCCGACCATTGCATCATTGCTTCCTTCGATAAACTCAATTTTCTACCCCTCAGAACTATCGCTACACATATGTAAGACTTAAAAATAAATAATTGCGATCCAGTATAGAATAGACTGCAAGACGTATGGAGAAGAGCTATGCATAGAAGTATGATGTGAACAACTGCTAAGTTGAGAACGCCAAGAACGCCTTCAATTTTCGAGGATGCAACAAACTAATCATATATTCTACGTACCTCTTAGGAGAATGCGAGCACCGCACACCACCAATTCTGCATCCAGTTATGGAGCGGAACATTTTCTGACGGCGTTAACAGTTTGAAGTTTATTAATAGTAAATGAAAAATTTTCTGTAGTAGTGTAGCCTACTGAGCAAATAATATAAAAAGTTGGAGATTACCAGAGTTTTCTTAGCTTCGTTTTCTCACTTTTATTTAACGGTAAACAAAGCAAAAATTACTGGTAAAGTTTTCTTTCAGAGGATTCTGAGGACGGAGGTATTTTAATTTAGACAAAAAAGCATACACTCTATGAATTACACTCCGGCTAGGCTGATATAGACTTGAAATTTAAACTTATTTAATTAACAGCAAAACACGAAGGGTAGGGAGAGGACTGTTTGCGTGAATTTTGTCACACAGCATTAAACAGCATTCACTTAACACTTTGAGGAAGAATTTAAAATAGTGGCCATCGTAAAAGTATATCTCATTGAAAAGCAATTCAAAAAGAAGTAAAAGCACATGCTGACATGTTTTTAGAGGCACAAATATTATGTGAAACATTAAAGACTCACCGATTTGTTTAGCGTCAGTTTCCCAGTTTTTCAAGACATCTGCCATCTGAAAATTAATATTAAAAATAGATTTTACACTTTCTTGAAGAACTGAAAAGTGCAGTATTTAGAAGAAAAAGATTTGAAGAGAAAATTTTCATAACGCACAGGGAATTCTAAAAGTACGATGGTAAAATTGAAGACGTTTATGAGGCATGCTCATATCATTGTAAATTCTTGGCCTATACCTACTGTGAATTATTTTATTTATACTTGTGTTTTGAGTAAAACTGGAAACACGCTTTGGCGAGATCAAAATTTTTGAAATGGAGAGCCATATTTAAACGAGGGGTGATTTAAAGAACAATTGGAAAGAGAAAAACTTTGTGACTTTAAAAATAATTATTTCAAAATCTAAGGCACAAAAAATGTGACTTTTCAATTACGTGTTCCACACGAGAGGATTTAAGATAGGACAACCAACAGTTCGTTGTGTGCACTCAATTCATAGCTGGTCTATGAAACTCCTTCAACGCATTGTATATGCAACTATTCGTGCTTTCCAGTATGAGATTGCCTACCACGTCTTTGAAGGCGATTTGTAGCGAGGCTCAACCAGTGGGAGAATACATTGGAATCACTGGCGAAATTTGTACAGTATTTTTCTTTGCGCAATATTTTTAGGGCTCTTCAGTCTTCTCAACCACGTCTGTTTAAATCCTCTCAATTTTTTGCACAAAAATAACCTATCCAACTCTTGCAAATTTGACGAGAAGAAGAGACTAAAATCCAAACGAATTAGTAGAAAAAATTACGGATTTTTTCCTCCTTACAATCATGATAGATTGCAAAAAAACACTTACGATGTCAGATTGCGTTATACTACGCCAAGATATTTCCGTGACATTTTGGGAAGTTATCTATTTTTTTTTCTACAAGAAACGGAAAAACATAAAAACAAAATGAAATAAAAAATCTAATGCGACGAGGGGTCGAAGAAATAACTACGGATGACACACAAATAAAGAAGATAACGATGTGTTCATAAACTGCAAAAACAGTCTGTGATGAGCTATTCCGATTGATACCAGGAAACTCTTAGAACGTCCTTCGATCTCTTAATTAGCGCTGATTTTCGGTTTATGAGCGCATCGATAAGTGTCGAAGTCTATTCATCATCATGTTTTCAGTGTTTGTTTCTTCGGTTCCGAGCCAAACGAGTTTTTATTTGATTATTTTATTCCTTCGTCCCTCTATAAAGTCAGATTGTAAATAACTGCATAATGGGTCTGATGTACACAAGCGATACGACAACAAAATTGACTTAATGTGGGTAAAATCGGACAAAAACCACGTTCGGCACATCAGCGAACTTATTGTCGAAATGAATAAACAAAGTAATAGATATATAGGACAAAAGAAAAATGAAGCAATCCTTTAGGTTACAACGGATGGTTGCTCTAGACTGACGGGGAAAATTATGGACAAAATATTAGGTCTCTAGTGGATTGCCGTTCATTAGTCTACGGCATGCCTCCTTTCTTCTTTGCAACCACCAGTTTTCGCCGATAGAACCGTTCTATTTTCGCTTTGCCTGCTTTTTCTATGCTTTGAACATGAATTTCGAAAATTAGCTTGCAGGAAGATCTAAAAGCTACTCCTTAGCGCGTATAGTTCGCACACTCTGTGGGCCTTTTTTCTTCACCGTTGGTAATTAGGCTTGTATTGAGAGAGATGTAAGGAACTTCAAATTTACAAACAAGCAATATCGCACGACTGCCACGGGTCGATCTTACATATGATTACAACTTGTGAATAGATTTTTTTTGTTGGGGAGGGGGGGAGGCAACATTAAAAAATGAGTAAGAAACATACGCTTGAATAATTAAAAATACATGCGAACATTTTGTGAGATTGTTTATTTACTAGCTTATATTCAGGATAAGTTTTCTCACTTCTCTTTGGGCAAACCTGATTTGGCCTTTTGACGATCGAAAAAGTGTTCCTTCAAACGCGGTAAGTTAGAAAATGCGCGATGTGCAATACAAAAATTGTGTGTTGAGGAGTGGAAATTAGACATTTCTGGCGAACTAAAAAATGATTTTTGCCCGATTCTACCCACATCAAGTCTATCCAGTTGGCGTGCAAAAAGTCCTGCAAAAAGTCTACACATGCCGGCTGTAACTCTTGTGTGCAGCAGACTCATTCAATCGAAACGTTTGGGATTTTAATTTTGCAACAATTAAGCTTGTTTCCCACGATTTTCACGTACTATGACGTAAAATTTATTCCGCTTTTAATTGGCGTCGTAGACATACCTGTTGCGAAAATTCGTGGGAGGCGTCGGCGAGGTCAGAGACGTTGTCGAAAATGAGTCTGTAATCCTCCTCGATGAAAAATTCGAGACGGTGCGATGAGCCGGCATAAATTTCTTTGGCAGAGCGGAGAGTCGTCTCAAAGCTTCGTTCTCCGGCCACTAGCTGCTCCGTCAAACGGAACAAACGGTCCTCGTCTGCAACAGATAACGATTTGATCAGTCAAGTGTAAGTCTGGAAGAGAGATACTTGAAGAGCGAAAATGTTAAAGGTCGATGGTCGCTCACAAAACAAAATTCTCTGTTTTCCCCGGAAAATGGAATCCTACAAAAACTGGATGAGGCGAAGTGACATTTTTGTGATACAGAGAAGAATAATTGTATGTGTTCAAAGAGACTAAACGACGTCATATCACGATTTTCCTAGGTGATCAGGTTTATCACGTTGTATAATTTTAAGACAAATGGTCATAACTGCAGGCTGATTATTGAAACTGATAGACAAAGCTATAGACAAAGACGACAAAAGGGATTTGGAGGGATCCTATTGGTGGAAGCGAGTGGTGGCAATGGACATAAGAGGTAGGTAATAGACTAACTAACGGCAACCCACGAGAGACCCGACAGTTAGTCTATCATTTTCTCCCTTTGTCTATAGGAACCACCCATTTCAACCAATAGGATCGCTCCATACTCCCTATGTCTCCTTTGTCTATAGCTTTGTCTATCAATTTCAACAATCGGCCCGCTGGCATTACTGCCAGCGGGTCGATTGTTGAATCGTTATCAAATGACCTTGATCGATATATAGCATTGTGAAGATAGGGATTTATCGATCGAGATCATTCGATAACGATTCAACAATCGACCCGCAGGCCACGGCAAAACGCCGTATGAGCCTTTAGACATTGCCCAATTTCCTAGCATAAAATACGAAAAATACAAGAAACTTGCGAAAGATTTTCTTCCAATGTCTCAAAAAAAATTTTTTCTTTACAAATCAATTTAAAAAATCTGAAAATTTTGTGGGAAAATATACATCATTTTCCTCAAAAATAAATACGTCGTCGACAACATTCAAAGAATCATACAGCATATTTTCTTAGAACAGCAGATTTGGCTGCGGAACCCGACTATTCAAAAATAACTTTACTTACATATCAATCTAAAAAATATCTGAAAATTTCTTGGAAAAATATACAAAATTCTCCTTAAAAATAAATATGCCGTCGTGAAAAAATTAGCAACATTCGAAGGATCACATAACGTTTTTCCTTAGAGCGGCAGATTTGGTATCTGAATCCAACATATTTCTCTTCACTAAATCAATCTAAAACATCTGCAAATTTCAGGGGAAAACATACATAATTTCCCTCAAAAATAAATATGCCGTCGTAAAAAATAGGCAACATTCGAAGAATCACAGCGTTTTTTCTTAATACGGCAGATTTGGTATCTGAACCCGAAATAACTCTCTTTACAAATCAAGCTAAAAAATCTGAAAATTTCAGGGGAAAATATACATAATTTCCCTGAAAAAAAATAAATATGTCGTCGTAAAAAAATTGTTTATAATCAAAGGTTCATAAGGCGTTTTTCCTTGATACCGCAGGTTCGGTCTCGGAGCCCGACTCGTAACCCGTCTCGCAAAGCAAACCACGGCGACATGATCCATTGATCCCGTTGATTGACTGGGAGTGACCGATGCTGTTTTCCGACCACAGAGAGCGCTGACCACCGCGACTCGGATGTGACTTTTGCTCGTCATTGTTGCGTGCTGATTTCCATTTCAGCGTTTTCATTTTCTTACATAATTCAATTCTTCCATCTTACTTTCCGACATACGCCCTCCCCGTGCATTTTTCCGCGCTTCATGGGCTCTAGCTTCGACGACTGAGTCCGTTGCCTCTTTCCTCGAAGTCTAGAATTGGAGCAGTGTTGCTCACTGGAAAAAAAACACATCGGATCTAGAGTCCAGACTTTTAAAAACATCGACAAGAAAAAGTACTCTTGATTGAATCAGAATCTAGCTTAAATCAAGAACCAAACCTCTTAATTTAAGCGGTTTTCGTTTTGATTCAAGCAAAAATCCGATTGAATCAAGAGTATTTTTCCTTGTCAATGTTTCCAACAGTCTGGACTCTAGATCCAATGTTTTTTTTTCCAGTGTAAGGAATACATCAGGAGGAGTATTTTTCATCGGAAAAATTGCAGGGTGTCTACTAAAACAGGGTGGCTAAAAATCAGTACTTTTACAGTACTTTTCCAGTACATTCACAGGAAATTCAGTACTACCTCAACACGAATATTCAGATCTTTTTCCGTACCTCCATTTGACGAAATATGAAACATTTAAAACATCTGAATTTCTCTCTCAAATTACGACAAAATGAAAAAAAATCCGGAAATTCTTGCAGAATTTTTGCACTTTTTCGGTACTTCCGGACCGTCCTTAAAAAATCAGTATTATTTACGGACTTTCCGGAAATTCCGGACTTGTGGACACCCTGAATTGATAATCGATTGCCACTTCAATGACGAGAACAACAATTTTATAGAAATTGATATGCAGGCAGAAATCCGTAAATTTTCTTAAAACCTTAAAATTGAAAACTTAAATTTCCCTCTTTTTTCTACCATCCCCATTAATTTATGCATTTCTCTTTTCCCGAAATCCAAAATGGACGGTGAAACTTCTAAACTACGTATCTCGCTTTGCGATGTTGCAGACTTCCTATCTTATACTTCATCTTTTAATTGGAGGGCTACTCAACGTCAATTCTTCATAATTTCCGCGATTTTTCCTCTCTGGGCGAAGCGCACTCTAGGAACATTTCAAGGAATGATGTTGATTCATTCGTTCTTCTTTGAAAAAATAAAATCAGAGAGAATTTTTTTAAACATCGCAAACGAGATACAAGGTTGAAGTTTCACCTCGACGAGTGATTTTCTGTTACCTTTTTACCCACCGTGCATCCTACGCTTTCACCTCACAATGTTATCCGGAAACTTACTTTCGACGTGCTTCACAGCCGATGGATGCTTTGGAACTAAATAAATCTGATGCACTACTTTTTTTAACTACGACTTTTTAATATGATCATTAACGTTCAAGCAATTTTGACTGATTTTATAAGGATGGAGTCAAGAATTTCTTCCTGTACATAAAGTTGCCATTAAATCGTAATAAAATCGCAATAACCTTTTTTATAATTACAAGAACTCAGTTTAAATGCATTAGTTCCACGAACTGGGGAGTTTGAGGAACAATAGCTAAATTATAATGGAAAATGTTCAACCGAAGTTCCGCAAACCGCAATCGTATTGACAAAGGCCTTATATGCATATTTTCGCTCATAAAATCACCGAAAATTAGCATCAATGAATACGATTTTAGAGCAACACATTGTAATAATTAGTTTGGATGAGATTGGAATGAATTGCCTTTGACAAAGTTGGAATATCAAATTTACAAAAGAAAAACATTTGAATGCACCGAAACGTCGGAAAAATCACGATTTTCGTGCACTAGTCGGCAGCCCACTTGATGCTCACACTTATTGAGCATGCAAGGCAGGAGATTCGATCATGTGATTTCCATTATATTATATCATTCGACTGACAACGCAACGCAGTCGGGCAGAACCGTTTTCCGGATCTTTCCGCATACATAACCCTGCAATTTTCGTGCGACTACAAAAAAGATGGTTTCAGTTGCCCTCAGTCCCCAGTTTTCCTTCCGCAAACTGAACTGCATCTCAACATTGGGACCAGCTCATGGTGAGCGAACGTTTTCCTTGGTTCCGCGGAAAAAACACTGTTAAGATTTGGTAGAAACATTAGATTTGTGGACGGTCAAAGAATCCTGACCCCAAATTTAATGCGGGACAAGCTCGCCCAAAAGATAATTTAGGGACCCTTGGTAAAAAAAAAAAAAAAAAAAAAAAAAAAAAAAAAAAAAAAATTGCAGATGTCACAGATTCAGAACTATACAACTAGACATATTCGATATAAATGATAGAGAACCATGTACGAATGAATTAAATAAAAAGAGGACCATGTAAATAGGAGCTGCGTGCTTCTTGGTTATTTTTCATGTAATTTACTTGTGCACATATGCAGTTCCTCGTAGAGTATACGTTCAACGTAGAGGATCATTTTTTATCCTCGGAGAGTTCGAAAGTGAGCTGTGAGCTCTTAACTCATTTGCATTTTTTGGCTTCTATGTTTTCCGCACGCTCAGGAAACAAGAACCTGGCTTGATTTTGATAAAATGTTCAGAAGGGCCAAAAATATGATTTCAGGGATAAAATGTCGAATTTTTCTTTGTCACAGAAATTCACTCTAACCGTATTGTGTATATACAATACTATTCAGGCAGGAATTAATTCACGTATGGTCACCTTACATCAGAAGCGGATCCAGCAAATTAGCAATGCCGGATTCCCTCCGTTTAAACCCATGTTAAATAATCGATTCTTGTCAGAGCACCTGTCCCCTTCAAGAACCGATACATTTCCATAGGTTTAAATGGAAGAAAAAAACAATGTTGCCAATTTGCTAGAGCCGCCAATGCCCTGCATCACCGTGAATGGAGGCTCATTTCAATCCCTTTCTTTAACCCTGAATAAATACTTTCAACGGAACTTTCTCCTCTATTAACTTTTTTGAAAACTTTCGAAAAAAAATTTCCAAGACGCTTAACTGAGTAAACCCAGGAGTTTTCCCCCAAAATATCAAACACCTGTTAACCATCAGAGTCACTTCAATACGAATATGCCAAAAAACTGGATTTTCAAAATGGCATTGCGATCCATTCTCGAAGATCGCAATCCGTGCGTTTTCCTTATGTGCATTTCATTGATGGCCTACCATGGATGGTTCTTGGTTGTCAGTTAGTGCGAAAAGTGTCTCGTTGCCTTCACAGGGGGTTTCTCCTGGTGTTTATCGACTTGTCGCTGGGTTGACGAAAGCGCATAATCACTCCTTCATGTAAGCTGTTAGTCCGCGTGACTACCTTCTTTCCGAGGCTCACGTGGACGTATGGTTACGTCTTTTTGACGAACCGACGGTACTTCACAACGTGACGAGAGACCTGCCCAGAAATGGCAGTGCGCGACAACGCAGTAATTTAGACTCCGAGAACCAGAGTATGATCGCTATTTCTGCCCGATAAAATACTTTCATCGGATCGGTTAGCTCCTGGTGACTAATCTTTCAATCAAGCACGAGGTTGCCGTTTGACGTAGCCTCGCGGAGTTTAGGAATTTCGATTAGAAAAGATTTCTTCGGGGATGAAAATTTTAAGCAGGTTGATCGTCTTATAGGTTTCCGCTTTCGTGAAAGAAATGCCTCCCTTTCCCTAAAAATTTTAGGAGAAAATTTGCTAAAATTTCTGGACATTGAAGAAAACTTAGCTCAAAATGCTAAGCACAGTTTAAAATGCATTAATCGATGGATGGACATCGATGGATGTTGTGTGTGTGTCAAAGCAACTTAAAAATGACAAATAGGTAATTAATTAATTGAGTTTTGGAATATGTCCCTCGTAAAAATCATAATTCTGCTGGACCGTTCATGAAATACGTAAAGTCACATTTCGAATTTTTCAACCCCCCGCCCCCCTCCTCACCCATCCACGCCGGTAACGCTTCTGTGGCGTATGCCCATAACCTTTAACACGCCAGAAAAACGACATGGTATAACGCTCTTCTCAACCTCCCTTACCTCCCTAAAGCGTTACGTATTTAATAAACAACACTTTAGGCTGATTTTATTGAGGCCAGCCAATTTCAGCTTTTTACTTTCATCTATTTTCTACTACTACTAAGTCGCTCTTTTAGCGCTTCTGTGGGCTCTGCGACACCCAACCGCCACGAACAGCGATCCTGCCAGAGCTCTTCCGGCAGATCGCATCTCATTTCCTGCCTTATTAATTCACTCAATCCATCCATCCATTTTCTTCTTCTCTCAACTTAATCATTCTTAATTTTCTACTCTCCTGTACATGGTATACGCGGCGAAAATCCGGGAACCTACCTCCTTTGGGATCCCAAGAGGGAGTTCTGTCCTCGATGACCAAGATGTCTCCCTCGAGGAGGCTGACGAAGGCGTGTGGGTCCACCTGCGCCCTCGAGCCCCCCAGGCTCAGGCCGAGATCCTTGATTTTGAATTCGTCGATGATCTTCGAAACGATGTGTCCGATCGTTTGACTTGCCGACCCCACCAGCTGAAACAGACACAATCTCAAATTAGAAACATTGAGCGACTGAGAAACAAATGTACGAACAGCAAAGAATCGCAACATACAGGGGTCATCCCAGAAGTATTGCGCGTTTTGTTCTCATATCAAAATTATAATGGGAAAAAAAATTATTTCAAAATTATTGGATAGGAAAAATTCGATTAGATGTGCATATGAGACATACTCCTATCTTTAACTCATGTACAAGTTTTTAAAAAACGGATACACGAGAGAAATGACCTCCTGAGCATCCCGTGCATCCGATTATAAAGAAAAGGTGGGTTTTAATTAAAGCTGAGAGTATGCCTCATGTGCACATCTAATCAAATTTTCCATATCTTCAATATTTTAAAATGAGGGCAAAACGCCTAAGACTTGTGGGATGATCCTCGTAATAAGAATAGATATGCCAAAAAATTTTGTTTTGAAAAATGATTTTGGAATTTTGATTGACTTCATCTTTAATAGAGTGAAAGATACCAAATGAAGACAACTATGCAAATTCTGATTTAAAGGTTTAACATTTTAAGAATTGATATCCTCTCAATGAACTCTTTAATGAGAAGACACATATTAAAAATTGAACAAATAAAATCAATCCGAGCGAAATATTAACGTGCGTATGTATGAATGGACGTGAAACAATCAGTATTTATATTGAGGCAGGCTGCCTCACTTAAAACCAATTCTTTTTGACAAGTTGAAAAGGAGGAAAAACAATCATCAACTTGGGACTAAGGGACAATCGTCAGTGGTGATGATGGGACTCAGATTCATCTGCTGCACTAGAATCATGATGATACCACGAGTTTTTGAAATCGTTAATCGTCCGCAATTTCACTAACTATAAGTTCCCTTAAATTACTCTTTCACAAGTATTTCAAAGAGTTATGCAGACGGTTGGTCCGGAACAGCCTCAAATAGACTGCGTTAAACAGAAAAGAACCAAGCCACATTGGCCGTTGCCAAATTTAACTGGGTAATTTAATTTTTTACGAGAGAACGTTTTTGCGGATTCTTCGGAAAATACTAAGGCATTTACTTCGCACTATGCAGGGAATTCACTGAAATTGGCAAAAAAATCCGCTCAACCGTTTTCAGGTAAAAAATTAAATTACCCAGCTAAATTTGGCAATAGCTGATGCGGCTTGGTTCCTTTCTGCTTAGCGCGGTCCAAATGTGATTTCAAAAAGAGCAAGTTTTAAATCCGAGAATTCCGGAAAATCAAACAGGTTACTTAGACAGCGTTCCATACCGCGCCGAGCACGTTCTCACCGAGCAATGTCTTGAAAGTTCGGGTTTGGAGCTTTGCAGGTGAGAGAACTTCATTTTTATCGTGCGGATTATTTCTCAGCAATTTCTCCACGTGACTAACTTGGGAATTAGATCTTCCAAATGTATTCGAATCTACCTCTCTGTGCGAAGGTCGTTGATGCGCGACCCTAATACTGACAGAAATTCATTGACTGGATTTACTAAGGTGATGAATGAATAACACACACATTTCCTTTAGGTAAATTTTAGTATGCTGTGAGTAAATACCCAACGCAGATGATGCGGGAACTTCAGACCTGGACATTCCGATATCCGAAATATTAACATTTTCCTAAAAATCTGCAGTTGCGTAGCTTTGGAGGGCGGCTTATTCCGATGAATTTGAATTATGGACCTTTTTTTTAGATCCATCGATAAGTTCCAAATTATTTAAAAGTGAAAAATTGTAGAATACCATTGTCGCATCTGGTCAACGATGGCCTCTCTAATCTTACTTGCGACGCGACGGTCACAACACCAACAAAAGTTCAGTTCCGTAAACCCATCCCTGTTTGGACAAGGCCTTCCATACATAAAAAACGAACGAAAAGATTATGAAAGAACAAACGTAGCTGTGGTTAATAATTTTAACTTCCACCACCGCGTCGACCGCACTGTTTGGCGCAATGCGTGAAGTATTCATGCAGTCTTGTAGGCACTGTGCGTTTCACGCCGACCGCTGCTGACCACACTGCATGTTTGGCGCAATGCGTGAAGTATTCATGCGGTCTTGTAGGCGCTATGCGTTTCAAGCCGACTGCTGCTGACCGCAGTTTGTTTGACGCAATGCGTGAAGTATTCATGCAGCCTTGTAGGCGCTATGCGTTTCATGCCGATCGCCTCACCGCTCCGTTCCAGGTCAAAGTGCGTGTTTGATTTCTCTCTTAACTCGACTAACTAAAGGTGTTGTCTCTTGTATTACCGAAAAACGACAAAATTAGAAATTACTACACTTTCACTCTCAGGAAATGAGAGATTTTGTCACCTTTTTTCGTTTGTAATTCATTTTCTGAATCCGATTTTTTCCTCTCTTTTTTGATACCTACATTCAAAAAGATTGGCCCATATGGCCACCCCCTTAATCCGGCCCTGGTTTCAGACGGTCTCCCGGTTATTATCAACCGTCGAAAAAGAATTAAAAAATTTAAAAAAAAAAAAAACAAAAGCTAAATCGAGAACGAAATGAAACCTTGTCTTCTCGCTGCGATGAACAGGGACCGGTAACATTGTTTTTTCAGGGTTTTTCAATTCTTTTTCGACGGTTGATAATGACCGGGAGACCGATCAAAACGTCCCGTGTTTTGTAAATTATTTTGTTTTTTCAGTCCTGTCCTCGTTATTTCCTGTCCTATTTTATACCTATGTTCTCGGGCTGCTATTGTACATTTATCTATACCTAACTATATGCACATTAAATCAAACTATTAATTTTCCAGAAGGCAAAAAATTTCCAGGAAGTGGAAACTCAATTTCAGAGTGATTTGGCATGCACCACTTGTTAAACGGATCGGACTTCTGTGTTTCCTGAATAAAGACGGCCGCAGTCCAGTGGCGTGGCGTGCTTTGCGATATATCGATTGATACGCCACTCAAACCTATGAAAAAAGATCGATTATCAAGGCGTCCGCAGCGAACACCTTAGTAATCGATTCTTTACCATAGCTTCAAACGGCAAGATATCGATAATCGATTATTCACGCCACGCCACTGCCGCAGTCTGGTGGATGAAGGCCCGCCCGCAGGATGAACCACAGTGGCGTGGCATGCTTTGCGATATATCGATCGATCGGCCATTTAAACCCATGGAAAAATATCGATAAACAGGGTGTTCGCAGCGAACACCTTAAGAATCGATTATTTACCACAGCTTCAAATGGGGGAAACATCGATAGATCGCAAAGCACACCACGCCACTGATGAACCAAGCTTTTGATGGTTTTTCTTGGTGGCCTCCATACACTGAGACAGAGGCACAGTTCCAACGGAGCGACCGCCAAACTGGAACAAAGCCTCGATGGTCCTAGAAGTTGCACTTGACTCCGAGGTTGCAAAACCGTGAAAAATAGTATTTCGTGCAGAGCTCCCTTTCTTGGTTACTGGATGGTTCCCAATGTAAACCGGCGTTCATGAAAACCTGTTACTAAAGCTAACAATGAGGAAAATCCGGCCTGAGGTGAGAAGAAAATTGATCGTATGCGATGCTGCCGTTTTGGTTTAAAAACGAGTTTAGAGGAGTTGTGTGAGCAGGAAGCTTCGGTAAATGTTTAAAATAGAGGAATATTATTCCAGGCCGCGAGTAGTTTAACGCATAAGGGTCAGTTTTTGAAGTCGCTGCCCCTGAGTCAAAAGTCAATTGGACTAAATATAGAATTTACCATACTTCTGGTAAAATTTTTCAATGCTTGATAGAAATGTTGGCTATCCGCCCCAGCATTTGACAAAATATATTATTTGAACATTAGCCTGAATATCGTCATTTTCCGGCCAAAGTATCACAAGCGCCATACGACGTTTCAAAATTTCCGCCGTAATGTTATTTTTTCACAGAGAAATTTTCGGTTGAATCTGTTTGAAAATTTTCGGACAGCTTCGTCGCACAATTTCTCTATAAACAATCAAATGGCGACGGAAATTTTTCAACGTCGGATAGCGCTAGTGATACTTTGGCCGGAAGTTGATGATATCATGGCCTTTTCAATCGCTGAGTTATGTCTATAGATCGGTACCTAGCGACATCTAGTCGCGGTTCCTGTCTCATTCCGCTGCGCTACGGAATAGCCCCGCGACCAGAGGACGTGGGACCCCGCACCTCCTCCTCCTTCTTCCTGATTCTAGGACGTTGATGAGGCGATAACCGATCCGCGATCGGGGCTTTTCAATTTCGGGAGAATGGGACCGGGGACCCAGCCACGTAACGGTTGCTAAACAAACACGGCTTTCATAACTTGATACGCGGCCGCCGCTGAGGTCACTGGTCAAAGACGCCGAGATGGAGGAAGATGTGCACAGCGGCGACGTCCTCCCCCCCCCCCNTTTAATTTTCGATAGAGCGTTGCCAAATATGAATTAGGAACTCGAACCGGTATATATGGATTTTTTCCCAAAATAGCAGGCTTGTCATTGAAATCGATAGACAAAGCTATAGACAAAGAAGACTGGCTATCAGCAGCCTGATTGTGGAAATTTTGTGTTTGTAGACCGGTTATGACAATAGTAAAGAGAATGTAGTTATGTGATGGTCGGTGCTCTGAGTTTGCGTCTTGTCCAATGGCAAGAGACCTCCACTGACCTCTTGGCGACAGGTGGAAGCTTTTACTTTCGGAGATTCAACAGTTCCTTATCGACAATTATAAGAGAGCAACTGTCATCACTCTTTTTTCGGCTGTTGACCTACCTACATGGTGGATGATGAGCTTCGGATGACGTCATGAGCCAAACAAGTTACCCAAACTTCGACTTCTTTGCAAAACGAAACTACCAACTTGTTGTGAAACATCAGCCTTCTAGATAAATCAACAGTTTAATGTTGAAGTCCCGAAAGTAAAAGCTTCCACCATAGCCGAGATGCGAGAGGAGGGTCTCTTGTCTCTGGTCTTGTCGGGCCATAAAGGGTGTAATTGACGAAAAGGTAAAGGTACCTCTTGAGATATGTTTGATGCCCCGTAGACCGT